TCTTAACTTTTGAAAGAAGATCCACACATTCAAATCCTTTTAAGGTTATCACTAGGACACTATATAGTATCTATCGCAAAAGATTGTTGAAATCGGAGTTGGGCAGTTGGCGATGATCCCTCGTGAATATGAACAATAGAAAGTTATTACGCTAATTCTACTTCTAACGTCTGTCTTTATAATTCAAGCAAAACATATATGGAATATTATATAATTGTATATATTTATCATCGGACGATAGAGAAACAAAAAGCGTGTAGATCATATTTATAAATGAATCAGAGAATTAACAAGTTAAAATAGAGACGTTTGTGTATATGATAATGAATATGTAAGAGAGCACATCCAAATAAGAAAAAGAAAACTACATAAAAATCAAACAAACAAAATTACATAAAATGTTTATGTACACAGACTATCAATAAAATAATCAATTGAAAATTTCAGCTCACTTTTCAACTTCTTTCTACACAATACTCTACACAAAGCTTTTAACCGTACGGAAGTACATAATTAACACTAATAACACGTTAGAAAACTCGAAATGAAGTTCACTGTAATAATCGATTGATTAAAACAAACGTGAACAAGACAATGAAAAAGTATTTAAGAATGATTTACAGCACATTGTTGAAGAAGATGATTTCGACAAGCATCACATACTCGAACAGGTTTATTTGAACTAGGTAATGATAATCTAGTACTTGCACATGCTTCACAAAACACATTTCCACATTGTCCTAAAAATATTAAAATATAATTTTATGATAATAAGAGAAAAACAAAAAGTCTCCTTACGACAATGATGCTTGCGTCTTGACAATGGATTAAAATCTTTACGGCATTGATTACACTCTTTCACATCTTCATCTTTCACCCATGTTGATGAACGATAACCATCTTTTTCTCGAAATTCATCTTCACGTTTAATTGAACTGGAATACAGTAGATATTTTAACAAATCAGCAAGATGAAACAGTCAGAAATTATGTTTAAAAGTTTTAATTACTTACATTTCTAATTTGAATGCTAATTCTTTGATTGTTTCTTCTTGTTCTGCATAATTTTTTTTTAATTCTTCATGCTGTTTACTCATATCTTTCTTATATGTATCATATTCCTTAAAAAGAAACAAAGTTTTTTATTTTATCTTTCATTTGTCAATTTTATGTTTACGTACATGTTTAATTAAATTTAATTCGTGTATTTCAAATTGTAATTTTGATACCTTTTCTTTTTCGGTCGTTAATGTTTGCTGTAAACGTTGACGAAATTCTTTTTCAACATGTAAATCTGTTTCAAGCTTTGATCTACCAATAAATAATGTGAACCATGTAAGGTGCCGAAAATTCAAATTTCGAGCAAGATCTTTTCCGCTTATTTTATATATGATTGGATAGAGAGCGCATCAAGCTGAGTAAGGAAACGAAAAACAAAAGTCGTCACAAGAAAACCTAGATAGGTTTGCAAAATTGTTTATGAACTTGTTACACGATGACTCCAACCCTAGTGAAACTTCTTGTACCCAAGATCTTGGTTTAAGAAATGTCACAAAATCTTGGAAAAAACACCAAGAAGTCAAGATCTTGGATTCTTGAATCTTTCACTCAAGATCTTGGCTAAGATCTTGGGAACAGAAATTTAAAGACCTTGAGTGACAAATTTTCTTTACATTTTGCTTTTATTTATGGCAGTCGTAGCCATTGGATATACGATCATATAGAGTCATAGATTCTTCCTTAAACAACTATGGTCAAGATGGAAAAAAATTCGAAGTTATTCTAAGTGTGAAAATATTCGCAGTTATGCTTACACAAGAGTGTAAAACAAAACGATGATTCAAGAATTTCCAAGATCTTGATGCAAGAAGTCAAGAAATTACAAAATGTTCAAGATCTTGACTTGAAAGTTCTTGAATTCTTATATTTTTTTACCAAGATCTTGAATGAAGATCTTACTGAAAAAATTCAAGAAGTCAAGATCTTGGTTACAAGAAGTTTCACTATGGAATGCGTCCATACTGGATAGACTTTTGACTTCAACCTTGATCAAACCTCAGATTCATTCGCAGTTTTTAATGCTGAATGTGAAAAAAGCACTTCCAGAAAGTTAGAAGAACGAAAAAGAAAAACATTTAAATTTTTTTGAAACTGAAGGCTTTTTCGAAATTTTAGATTTTTCGAAGTTTTTCGATTTTTCATTCTTAAAAATTGTTTTTCAAAAGTTGAAACTACTTTTTCTTACTCAGCTCGATGTGCTCTCTATCCAATCATATATAAAATAAGCGGAAAAAATCTTGTTCGAACTTTGAATTTTCGTCATGTTATAAATGTAAACAAATAATTATAACATACTTTTCTGAATCTGCTTTTGATACTAATTGACTTATATGAGTGTTTGTATCACCTAGTGCATGTTTTTCTTTATTTATTTGTCCAATACTAAATGAGAGAAACAATTTAATCAATAAATAAGATAATAAGGGACTTATTATACTTTGATTCTAATTGACTAATAGTTTCACGTAACATTTTATTTTCTTTTTCTAAACACTGAACTTGATGTTCTTTTTCATCCGATCGACTAATCTCTGTCTAAAATGAGAATATATTTCGTATCATATATTCATAATAAAAAATATCATAGTTCATTATGTTGTTTTTCGATTTCTACCCTTAATATATTTAGTTCAATTGTTCAGTTCACTTTACTCATTTAAGTTTAGATATAAAAATGAGTTTAAAGATAATTTAAACCAATAGACTCTTTCACAAAAAGATGTAATAAAAGTTAAGATATCTATTTTCTTTTAGAAAATCTCACCTGTAATTTTTCATAATATTTAATATTTTCATTTTTAACATCGTTTATTTGCTCCTTCATATGATTGAACAATGTTGTTTTTACTTCCAAATCTTTCTCCATCATTTTTGTTGCGTTTTCATAATCTGTTTTCATGGACATTTGTAATTCAAATTCTTTAATCATTTCCTAATACATACACAATAATCATTAGTCATTGCAATTTTCTCACTATAATTAAGAAATATAAATAAATCACCTGTTTTGTTTGACATTCCTCATCATATTTCTTTTGTAATTCACTATACATTTCATCGAGACCACTTCTTGACTTTTGATAAGTATCTCGTTCAACAGCAATATCACTGTGTAATGCCTAAATGAAATAAACACTTTTAATTGTCTTATTATTTTGTTTTTGTTTTTATTCATTCGCTAGAATAAAAAAAGCAAAATCTTACATCAATTTTTGTTTGAAATGATTGTTGCATTTGCTCTTTTTCTAATTTTAATTTAGCATTATCTTCTTCTAACGTATCGATACGAATTTTTTGTACATTAAAATCATTTTTCAAACTATTATACGTTTGTTCTAATAATGAAAAACGGTCTTGAAGATTGTTCGTAGCTCTCCTATAAAAAATTAAAAAAAAATAGAGAAATGACATCTGAATACGACGCATAATCAGACTACCTCATTGATTCTACGTTTCTTTTACTCATATGAGATGATGCTTTTATTATATAGCTTTCTCAACTGAATATTCTCATGGCAACTTATATAATGCGTGTGCTAATTAGATTTATAATTCTTCTATTAGTTTGTTTTTGATAAATAATTTTTTGAATCGTATAGTAACTCAGTATATGTTCGTTTAACTTACTGTAAATTTCTATTTAATTCTTCTAAATAATTTTTTTGATCAAGTACACTTGTTAGTTTATTTTCAAATGTAATATAATCATTATTTATTGTTGATGTTGCATCACTGTTATTATTTTCAATTAAATCATTATTATTAGACGTTATTGTTGTAGATGTTGGTGAATTTGATGATAAAGATGATGATGATATTGATGAATAATCATCTAATTCATCTACTTCCGAATGATTATTAAAATTTTTAGATGGTATACGTCGTTCTCTTAAATAAAGACTATAATTAATTGTTGTTTGTAATGGATAATCAAGATTTGTATCTTTAGCAATAAAATTAAAATCAATAACATTTAAACCGACTAGTAAACCCGATACAATATTGATTTCATCTGATACTAATAAAGCTTGAGAATCATAATATTCATTTAATAATTGTTTTTGTTCAATTAATAGTCTAAAATAATCGGCTAAACGTTTTTGCATTAATGCTAAACGTAGCCATGCTCGAACACGACCCATTTGTGTTTTTACATTTGTCATTTCTTTTGATGATAAAAATATATCACAAATATCAGTTTCATTAGATTTACGAACAATTAATTCAATAAGTGGCCACAAATCTTTTCGATTTGAGGATGTTGTTACAAATGATTTTTTGCCTAAATCAAGAAAATATATATGTATAAAATAAAAAAAAAAAGCGATTTATATATGACAAAAAAAGCGGTGATACCTTGATAGCCATGTAAGAGAATATGTTCTAAGACAACAAAAAAATGTTTTAATGGAAAATATTCTTTTTCAACTAAACGTTCATGTCTCAAACTTGAATTAAGCAAATCTTTCATAACAAGTTTGAATACACTTAATAAATTTTGTTTTTCTGTTAATAAAGTTTCAACAGCTAAAAAAGAAATGAAACGAAATAGCAACAATATTCTTCAACAATGTATCGTATATCTTACGTTGTTCATTCGGTGAAAATATATTAGATAAAAATGAATGTGATTCAACCGTGTGATTCAAAAACGGCATAGCATGAAGAGAATAGAAAAATAAATTATTAATCTAAAGTAATGAAAAATAATTACTAAATCTTTTTAAGATTACGAATTAAAATGATGTTCTAAAATCAATTGTATTAAACCTAAAAGTTGACTAAAGATGATGCTAAAAACCCATCAATTTAACCACACACTATCATTTTTGAAGATCTATTTTACTAAAATTTCATAAACTGTTAAATATAATAATTTTAGTCTACTTTTAATTAAATTATGTGCTCTTTAAGAAATTCAAATTGTTACTGATTAGAAAATTTTAAAATTCTGTATATGTTGTGAACAGATATATGCCAAGGGCTATTTTAGTGGCAGATCTAGCAGACCGCTGCCCCCTCGCAAATGAAATTCTAATACAAGTACACTATCAGACTTTCTTAGAAAAAATATTCATACTACCTCGGACGACATTGTTAGATATCGCCACCCCGTCGGTAGAATCCTGAATCCGCCAGTGGGCTATCTGACAACTTGATTAATCAAATGAATTTTTCTGAGCATTTTCAAACGTTCCAGTTAATTTAAAATCTTTAAATCTCTAAAAACAACATGAAAAATAATGAGGAATACTTTTTCACTTATTTTTCTAAACTGCCTCACGATATGGCTTTGAAATATCTGCAAATCCGAACATCGTAAATAGTGTGGAAATGTTTTGAAATACTATGTCAGATGAATGAACTCAATTCATAAACTGTAGACAATGAAATGGATGATCAAGTGGTGATCTAGGTATAGCCACTTATGAACGATAAATTCTCTCAAAGTTCTACAACAAAAGACTTGTTTGATCGGTATTCATCACAATTTTTTCAGCTATTTCTTTATTTAACTAAACGCTTCTGACATATCGTATAATAACGAGAGCATAGACTTAATTACATGTTTATTTTATTATTTTATTATTCGAAATGTAACAGATTAACCTTCATTTCATCTCACAATGCAATGGCTTAAAGAAGTTTCTCAATGTCAAAATAGATACAATAAGAGATAAATCACCTTTATCATTATGAAAATAAACTATTTTCCGTTAGAGATATTTCGTCTTTATTCAAAAGGCATCATCAATCAAATATTGTAAATGGTAGTTGATTCTACGGACAGAAAATATTTCTAACGTAACTGAGTGAAAACGTACTCATTGAATACAAAATCTACGGATTATTATCTAACTAATGTTCCAATCATTAAATGAAACAATTAACAAGTAATGGTAAAAAAAAACGTTAAACGATTATTCTACATTACACCAATTGTGCAATCTTGTTAACGTTCGATCGTTAATGAAGCTGAAAGTAGAGTTTCTTGTTTGAAACATAACAAATCAAAGCAATGATAAAGGTTAGCATTCTCATAGATAAACATAATGCGTTTAAATTAATTAAATAAAATATTTTTGCCGACACCAGTCTTTGTGTTTTCATTTAATTATCTCTCCGTCTCTTTAAATATACATTTACATACACAGTAATAGTGTTGCTTTTGACACGGACGAAAACACGTAAATACAACAAAGATGAAGCAAACAAAAAAACACTGTTGACATATATACACCAACGAAGAAAGCGTAAACCGAATGAGAAATTGTTGTCTTTTGCTAACAAATTTAGTTCTGACGACGGTCAAAACACATATATATATATATCTATATATATATATACAGTGACTCGAAAAATTATTTGCCCACCATTATTTTTAATTTTTCTCTTTACCATAATAAGGTCTGATGACATATATTTCACGTTAATTTTGCTGCTTTTGGTAGTATGAAACTTTGAAATCGTAAATTGAGTGCTGTTCCATGCAAAAATGTCATAGGGAGCTCAGAAACATCTCATTTTGTTCAAAAATGTTTGCTCTATACGACAAGGTTATTTTAAGAAAAATTTTCGGTCAAATTCGGGAAAGCGTTTTTTCTGAGATTCTGGTTTTACATAGACTCTGATTTCAGAAATTTCGATGCAATTTTTATATACACCACATCAGATTGAAAATTTTTTCCAGTTTTTCAAATGTTTTTTTCAAATTTGTTCTAGGTATTATGGTTGAAGAGAAAAATTAAAAATAAAGATGGTTGAATAATTTTTCGAGTCACTGTATATTGAGAAAAACGAACAGAACTCATATGCAGGATTGAAAATTATTGTTTTACTAGTTTTTTTAAAACTTGATAAAGAGAAAGATCTTGTATATAGAAAAAAACTGAGAGAAGAAAGAAAAAATAAACAGGTTTTAGTTAGCGAGCCAACAGAAAAAAGAATGACAAGAAATAAACAGTAACGAAAAAAAAATAGGAAAAATTCATTACAGTACTTCTAAGGCAAAAAATAAATAAAGAAAAAGAAAACAACACTACCTGATCAAGAACAAACATGACAACTGTTTGTACTATTACCACTACTAAGAAGTATTTGTTCATGATAGGAAAAAGGAACAATCTTTATTTATCTGACTGATTTATGTAAAATAGAGAACTTTTGCTCGTAAACTCGTTCAATTTCAATATTCATCATTGGTTTTGGAAAATATATGTACACGAAGTGAGAAAAAGTTTTATTTATCGACGACGTGTTGACGATATATTCGTATTAGTATTTGTTGGATACTGATAGGATGTTAATTGAGTATTATTCATGTTCGTATTGTATGATGATGGATCATACATAGAAAAACGTTGTTCTGGAATAAAATTACTACCGTAGACAGATGCTGCTAAGGGATATTGTTGACCATAATTTAAGTGTACATAAGGTGTAAGAGAATTATAATAATTCATTTGTGGATAATAATTTATTGGTGGATAAAATGGATTCAAAGGTGGTGGAAAATGAGTGGCTGCCGGTATGTTATGCTGATGATGATGAGATGGTGCTTGCTCTTGTTGTTGTGTTTGTAAAGAAGAAGGATAAGGATAACGATAATCTGGGATCGTTGTTGAATTACTAAAGTTATAGGCCGTAGTTGTATTATGATTAAAATTGTTATTTGGTGTACGATTTGCTGGTGGATGCTGTTGTTGCTGAGGTTTTAAAGGAGACGATGTTTTATGATGATTATAATGACTTGATGTTGAAACAATCATATTTGTTGGACACGTGAGACTTGGTGGTTGATCATTATCATCATTTGTAGCTATCGTTGATGACTCGGGTGATGTTCTGGACTTCATTGAATGATAATGGCCTTTTGCGACTGGAGAACCAATTGAAGACGATGATGTATTGATGGCTGATGTCGAAGTTGAAAATGATTTTGTTTGATCATTATCTTCAATGGTGTCATCATTTGTTGCACCAAATAAATCGTGTTCAACGGTTGTTTTTAAACTTTTTTCAATTTTGGCAATTTTCTTTTCTGCTTCTTCATCCGGATCATTTCCATTTGATGATGATAATAAACTAATGGTGGATTGTTGAGATTGAGAACGATGCAATTCTTGCTGTTTTTTTAGTTCTATGTATGGTTCAACAATATCCGATAATGACGGCGTGGAGGGAATTATTGAACTACCATTTGTTAAACTTGCCGTATCCGAATCATTGTTTAATTGAATATCATTTGCACTTAACGGCAAAGAAGTTAACGAAGAGGATAATTTTAATGTAGATGAAGTCGATGATAATGTGTCGCATTCATTCTTCATGCTATTGTTGTTGTTTATTGTTGCTGTTAGTAAAGTAGCCTGTGACTCTTCTTTCGAATTCTAGAAGAGACAAGAGAAATAAAACAAAGGTAAGTGAGAGATTATCAGCAAAAATGATGATTTTTCGGTCCTAACATTATAAAATTCTGGAAGAAGAGATTAAAAATCATCGCGTGAACGAAAAACGATGATTAGTAATAATGGCTGCATAAACTTTAATGAACTAACCTCAGTTATTGCTTGAGATCCTATCAATGTATCTACATTTAGGGTGTCTAGTGTCTGCAAACTTGACGATGTCCATGCTCGTTTTTTAAATGGTAACGGCATGATGGCTGTTGATATACTCTCGCATGATGATGTTGACAGACCGCCATCACTGATCTGACTTGTTAAATGTTGAATAGCTAGAAACGAAAAAAAATTAGTCCATTATTTAGAATACGGAATAGAATATCATTTTTTCACAAACATTTTGAGTTTTGGATTGTTAATTTATCTCCATTTGTTGTACCCATTGTCGTATCAGACCGTGAAACACTGATGTTATTATTATTATGAATATTATTAATGTTATTATTATGTCGAGTTCTCAATTTGTGTTGATGGTGTTGATTTTCATTTGATACGACGTTTTCTACTGTTTTCGTTAATTTTTTCTTTGATAAAGTTTGACTGGCACTTTCACCAACCTCTTCCTCATCTTCTTCATCGATGCTTAACACAAAAATGTTTTTCTCTTCTTGATCGTTGTTTTTACTATCAAAACCATTGGACAACACTGTTTCTTTCTTTTTGTCAATGAAAAATTGATCAAGTTTCGATTGTTTCAGTGTAGATTGTCTTTTCCACATATCTTGCTGTTTTTCTTCAGGTTCTTTTTCATTTTCTGTTGTTTCACTCGCTTTTAAATTTGGACTATCACATTTAATATCAGTTATTGTTTGTTGTTGTGAATATTCTGCTGATCTATTGTTACTATCACGGCTTTCTTCTTCCCCGTCTCCATTATGTCCATTGATAGTGACAGACGACCTTTCCTTTGCATTTTTTTCATCACCTATTGTCCTATCGTTTTCTAATTTGATTGATTTTCGACATTTCACATAGACCGATTTTCTTCTACTGCCAAATTTACGTCGTTTGATATAACGTGTTGTGCTTGTGCCATCTGTTAATGCATTTGGTGTAGTAGCTAACGAAGTTGCAGCTCTAAAGAGATAAGGGCAATTTTTAGCCGATATTTGATAAAATACGGGTATGTTATCGTTTCCTAAGTAGGAGCACAAGTAAAACGCTCGTACCTGGAGTTATACCGTTATAAAATTTATCGATCTATTGTTTCTACTCAACATAATAGCACTACTTACTCGGCTGTATCACGTTCGAACCCTTTGAATACAATTTGTATATCTTTCACTTGTTTTTCAATTGCTTTTTCTTCATTTGTCAATAATTGTGGTGTTAATACAGGTGTCCAGCGTAAAAATTCGGGATCTAGCATGATCCAATTTTTATGTTTATCATTTTCTTGTTTCAACAATAGTTCAAAATGATCAACATCAAATGTAATCACCGGTCTAAAATACAAAATTATAGAATAGTGACTTTCAATAAACTATCTTTCTGTCCACCTACTTTCCGTCTGTTTTCATTGTTAATATTCGAAGATTTTGCATTGCGTCAATAATATCATCGGTTGCCATTCCCGTATCGTACATAATTTGTTTTAGATTACAATGGACTTTATTATAATGATTATAATCCAAAAGTTGTTTAATTATCTTATACTTCCAATATGTCTCATATGTTCTTCGACCCAAATCAGATAATGGTTTTTCTGGAGTACCCACTTGCCATTCTTTTCGCGATAGTAAATAACTTAATTCAATTAAAAAACGTCCGTAGCCTTTTCGTTGACAATTAGGCAGCACTGTAATACACGAAAGATTATACTTTTGTGGACAATGTTTTTCTTTTGAAAAGTAGCCAATAAAATGACAACCATTTTGATCGTTACGTGTTAATACATAAAATAAAAATGGTTCAACGTCGTAATATAGCGTTTTGTGATCAAGAAACAATTTGGCTAATAGACATAAATTTTGACAATAGATACGACTAATATTACCATCAACTTCAAATACGGATATGTTTTCTTTGTGATAAATTTCATTGGCAGGTGGATGGTGGGATTGACAATTTTGCTAAAAAGAACGAATACAATGAACATCATTGCAGATAATTTCTCCTAGGAACGAAAGAATACAAATAGGAATTAAGTGATGACCACAGTAACTCATGATATCTCTAGACGTCTGTTATTTTCATTTTCATACGAACTTGAGATTGGAAAATGCTGTACTTTTTAAAACTTTGAGAAACAATAGATACATAAGTGAGCATATTTTTGCTGAGAAGTGAGAACTACACTTTTCAACAATAGTTTAATGACAAATCATTAAGAGTCTCATGCTTAATTTAAAAAGAGATCAGAAGAACTGTTGACACTTGTGCAATTGCTGCTTTCAACTTACTCGATGTCTTTCATAAACTTCCTCACATTTCATATATTTCAAACAAAATTCACAAATAAATAAACGTGGAACACGTGCATATTCTTGTGGGTATGATGATGAATACCACGTTTTAATCAAATCATTACCAAATACAATAAATGGTGGCCAACGAGATGGTTCTTCGACGTGTTTAGATGGTGACGGTTGGACAAATTTATCGGAACACTAAAAATAAAGAAGTTTTATACATAATGAAAAAAACAGATAAAACTTTCTTTGTTAACATACATCAGAGATGAGTTTAGCAGCATTTTGCTTCGTTTCTAAGAACAATTCAATATCATGTTCAGTAATATTATCAGGTAGTGTATCGTTTAAAAACGCCGGCACACCGTTATATTCTGAAAAAAAAAGGAAGCATAAGTTTTTACCTGGTAAAATCAGTTCATATTATTCAGTCGAACTCTCATCATCTAAATGTGGAACGTCATAAGAAGACTCCTCCCATAGCTATAAGTAGACGTGTTTTCAGACTAATTTTTAGTTGAGGATTTTCTTACGATCCTTAGTAGTTGAAACAAAAAAATTTATGATAGTAAACAGCGCATATTCTGAAATGTGTTTCCCCAATTAGATTTGGAAAAGGCATACTTTCGATTTTTCGCCAAATGTCTTCTTGGATGCACACTATGTGCGCTCTACTGCGTGACAAGTAATTCGAATCATTTTTCCTCAGAAAACAGAGCCTCCACAAAAACTACTGCAGATTTGAGATGATCTTTTAGTGCTGGGTAACAAATAAACAGAATATAGATCGACTTTCTTCGAATAAGTTTCTTGATGTAAAAACAAATCGAATGAAATACATACTCGAAAAATCGATATTCAGTTGTTTTTTTGGTTTCGATTTCGGCGGTGTGATCAGTGAACTTGATTTTTGACGTTTTCTCTGGATATCATCACTATCGCTATCTTCCTCTTCCTCATCCGAATGTTCATCTTTCTTCTTTTTGATTTGTTTTGGTCGTTTTTGTCCTTTGTTGTTTTCATCAGTATTAATCGTTTTCTTCGTCAGTTTTTTATCACGTTTATCCAAATTTTTGTTTAAAGAATTAACACGTACTCTCTTATTTAGTAGCTCCGGTGATAATGTTAATGAACGTTTAACAGGTTCTTGAATCGGTGTTCGTTCTTGTTGTTCTTGATTTGTTATTGATCGCGTTGTACGAGATGGTGTTTCCAGCGCACTACTAATGGAATTTCTTGATCGACGTTTTAACGGTGTACTACAAATAAATATTGCATTATTGACAGTAGATTTTTTTAATTTTCGAATCAAGTCAATTACCTAGCAATTGAATAATTTGTCGTCTTACGTGAATCATCATTAAGTATCATTTCATCAAGAACTACCGGTTTACGTCTTATTCGTTCAGTTTTTGTTGCAGCTAAAACATGCTTCGCTAGCGAACGATTTTCTGTATTACTATTACTGTTCAATTGTTTATTTTGATTGTTTGAACGTTTAATTGTTTGTTGCTGAGTTTTCTTTCTTAAACATTGAGCAGCTTTTTGTACCGAATTTTGACGACGTTGATTTGGTTGCATTAATGTGGCGGTACTTGTTGTTTGTTTCTGCTTTTTAGGCAGAAAAAAATTTGTCATACCATCAATTAGTTGAGCAACGGATCGAGATAATGTTGGCGTCGACGGGTTTTCAGCCTCTTGTTCTTCTTCGTTGTCAAGTTTCTTACTATTATGGGGACGAATTTTATTTGGTGAACTGATAGAAAATTTTCTTTATGAAATAAACAACAAACCATGTACTAAGAAAACAAAAGTAACCAGATTAAGTAATAATACCTGTTTGATTTCGTACTATCTTGTTTCTTCTGTGGACTTTTATTTAGCTCTTCGGACATGCCTTCATCACGGCAAAAATCACACATAAATTCATCTAAACAATGACAAACATATTATTAATTAACTATTACTCTATTAAGATATCGGTTCAATAAATACCTTTTGGAATTTGAGTTAGTGGTGGATCACAACAACTCGCGTGTACGCCGCTATCACAGAAATCACAAAACAGCAACTAAAAGGAAACATGGTATAGATTAATTCTTAGCTTTAGCATGGTGTGCTAGAGGGTGATAAATAAGAAAACATTCAGTTTACTCACCGAGTCGTCTGATTTGGTACATACTATACATTTTTTACAATCTATACATAACCAGTTAAGTGTTTTGATTTTTTGAACCAATTGGTCCGAATATTTTAGACATGATGGATGTCCTATTAATTTGATAAAAAAGTAAGATAAGACTATTTGTATCACAAATTTCTAATAAAGTATTACCCGAATTTCCACATTGAGAACAACTAATCATTTCTTCTGCTCGTCCATGAGGACCTTTTTCGGCTGTACACAAACAAAAGCCACATATCGGAATTGGTTTGGCCACTTTCTACAAAAGAAATAAAAAAATGTAAATATGCGAGTCATTAATAAAAATTGTACAACAAACACCTTTTTTTCGTTTCCTCGTCGTCGAATGAGAGGTGTTGATGTTTGTATTGGATCTGTTGTCATCGTTTGATGACGTGGAGTTTTTTGTCTTATGTTTTTCTCATGTCCACTATTATTCTGATCAGTATTCGTCGTTGTTTTTCGTTGTATTGGTTTATAACGATTATCAATATCGTCTTTAACGATTAAATTTTCGACGACACAACGTCCTAATGCTGAGCATAAATCTGTTTCGTTAATAACAAATTTTTTCATAGGCGAATTCGTTTCTTTATTTTTGTGTCTTATATAATCGCGAATCATTTTCACCGAACAACCGGAATTTGTCTCATTGTCAAGATCTTTAACTATTTGAACGAGTTTATTCAACACTTCCATATTAATCGATGATATATCATCTGTATTTAAAGTTTTTAGTAAAATTTCATTATTATGATCACATATATATTCAGTTACATAGGAATTATTTGTCTCAATTGGCTAAACCGAAAGAAACAAGACATTATGTATTGACGATAAAAAATGCTGAAATTTTACTCTTCTTACTTTGATTAATTCATCATCAACACCTTGACGAAATGTTTCTCGTATCAATGAACGCTTTAAACTTGGATTATGTTCCTCGATATAACGACAAACACGATTGATCGTTGCTGGTAGTCGTTTACGTTTTAAATAGTCTAATGTGTCACATAATGCTTTTAATATTTCTACATTGTACTTCATAATTCAGAGCATCTAAATGAACACAAAAGATTAAATGCTGCTAATAGTCAGTTTTATAAAAGCCGGGCACGCGATCCGTAGAAAAAAGTGAGTGTCTTTCCTTCATTAATTAACTCTTTAGTCTAATGGCACGGAATGCAAGATGACTAAACCTAACGTGATGAGAATGAAAGAACAAACGCATGCCCACCTCTCAAATTTTTTTTTTGATTGGTTCCTGTTTGGCAGCCATAACAATATTCACATAACAGCGCTGAACTCAACACATATGAGCACATTATTAAAAAATAAAAGTGCATTTTCTTTAATAGATGATTTGTTTTACTCAACTCAGTCACTACTTCACTACTGTTAGATTGATTTTATGAAAACAAGAAAAAAGCATACATGGAAAGTCTTGAGCATTACATTTCTATCGTTCCTGTATTTCCCGGATTTTTATTGGTTGTTGAGACAACATAGAATCAGTTGAAACTTAGGATTATTCTGCTTTATTTTTTATGTTGTTTACTTGGCTTTCATGTCCGCCGTCTCTCGCATAGTCAGTTAGAGCACATTTTGTGTGAATATTGAAAAGTAATGTGTAGATGTACTCTTTTTGATTGCTTTTTTACTTTTGACGGTTTCAATAATCAAAAAGGTCTTGAATAAATATTCTTTCAACGCCTGTGCGCACGCGAACCATTTTTGTTACTAAAGTTTAGTTTTCTTAAATGTTTTTGCTATTCAGCCCCAGCTATTCAGCTTTCGCAGCTTAATTATTTTTTCTGCGAAATGATTAAAATGACATTGTTTGCTCTATCAAAAGATATATTTCGCGCTTTTTTTTTGCAGGCGGACTTATTCTTTAGCGATTTACGGCTTCTCATTTCTCTTTCTGTTGAGACGAAGGTGGCAGGAACGATTTGTCCACATGTGCCCCTTTTTTTGGAGGAGCACGGTAGTGTTTTTGATAAGTGTCACCAGCGGCTGCAACGGACAATCTATTTCAGTTGTGAAAATGTGAAAAAATTCACTGACATTCAGCTCAAGATTTGCATTAAAAATATTGCCGCATGGTCTGAAGTTTAGCAGGAAGTATAAGGACAGCAAAAAATAAACTACGATTTTAACCTCTTATAGTTACTATTCAGCTTTCCATGTTTTCTGTGTTTTCACTTCAGAGAATAGTTTCTGTCCAAAAAAACGCAAAAGTTGGAAACATTTGATAGTGTAGGCATTCTTCGTGGATTTGAACCGTGAATTCGGTGACTGTTAGGCATACCTACCTTTTTAAAGATAACAGTACACGAAAATCTTTGCAACTAGCTGATTAGCTTAGGACGACATTACGAGAGAGGAGGGACTTTGGTTGTTACTGTGATATGGAGTGGTATAAAGCAATTAACGCAATCATTCTCACTTGCTTGACGAGCTTTGACGGTTGAAACACAAACTTACAAAGTAAGTTTCCAGGTGGCGCCACTTCTACCTTGAAACGTACTTTATTATAGTTAAATTTTGATGTTGTCCTCGAATCTGATATTCATTTGTGGTGCTAAGCGTTTTCATCATAGATCTCTAAACATCCGATCTCTAGAGATCTTTCTTAAAATGTGAGATGGAGAGATTCTGCTTCGACTAGACTGGCAGAATATCGAGCACATATAGATCATGTCGAATTATTAAAAATACGTTTTGATTGAAGTATGAGATTTTTTTGAACTAAAATACGGGAACTTTTCAACTACTCATAGGATTGTTAGTAGCATTTCATATCCCAGACAGAACCTATTTGCTAGGTCCTAAAATTTTTTTCTATAGGAAATTCGACATGCTCTATAAACTGGTCGAAGCCGAATCTGTCCATCTCAAATTTTAAGAAAGATCTCTAGAGATCGGATGTTTAGAGTTCTATGATGAAAACACTTAGTAGCACAAATGAATATCAGATTCGGGAACAGCATCAAAATTTAACTATAATAAAGTAGATTTAATGGCAGAAGCAGCGACACCTGGAAACTTATCCCATTAACTCTAGATCAGTCACAACAAATCGTCTTTTACCATTTTATTACATTTCTGGTTATAATAGTCACTAACTAACTTGGTTGGCTTAAGTTACCAAATCAAGCATTTTAATTATAGATAGTATAACGTTTAGTCAAAATGCCATATGAACGTTTTGTTCAGCTCGGTCGCGTTGCTTATATAGCATATGGTCCAGATAAAGGTAAATTATGTTGTATAACAAATATTATTAATCAAACGCGTGTTCTTGTTGACGGTCCATCATCAAATGTTCGTCGAAAAGCCTTGAATATTAAATCATTACATTTAACAAAATTTGTTTTGAAATTATTACCGGGTGCTCGTACAAAAACTGTTAAAGCATTATGGGATAAACATGACGTAAATACAAAATGGTCTGAAACACGTTGGTGTAAAAAATTACAAGCCAAAAAAATACGTGAAAAAATGAATGATTTTGATCGATATAAATTAATGCATGCTAAAGCAGCTTACAATAGAATATTACATCAAGAATACGGTCGTCTGAAAAAGAAATCCAAAGAATCATTAGCTAAACTTGCAATAAAAACGAAAAAACGTAAATTTGTATCAAAATCGCAACGTTATGCCAATAAACATAAAATATTTGCCGCATCAACAACAGCAGCCAAAAAGAAATAAATAAATAAAAATACATGTTATTTTGTTTTGTTTTGTGTATGAGATGCGAGAAGAACACGAAAGAAAATTATTAAATAAATAAAAATATTTATAACATCAACTTTGTTGATTCTTTGTTAATTAATAATCGGGTGTATTGGACTCTTTTTCTCTTTGCTTCGAGTTTGTTTACGGTCTTAGCTGCAGTATATATCATCCACTGTGAGTGACTGATAGAAAAGTTCTGATTGAAAAAAAGAAAGTCCTCGTTGTTTGAGCTACCTATACATTGAACGAGGAAAAAGCACAAGCGAAGTGTGATGTTTTTTTTCTGTTAGTTAGTAGTACTTGGTTTTATGTATAATTGTGTTGTGAATTTTAGATATTTTATATACGATAATATATATCTCTACTTTTTCCAGCATGGGTGACAATTGGGATGATGATACAAGTACATCAAATCAGGTAAATGCAACGATTTTGTTCCGTTCTATAGAATAGACTGCTAATCTTAGTCTCGCTTTGTACGCCAAAACTAGTGTAGAGAAGGTTGTCCTTTAGCAAAAGTCTTGCTATTCGTACTTGAGCATTCATTAGATCATGAAGCGCATTCACCAAAATTTTTAGAGATAGAAGAAAGAAAAAACAATACATATTGTTCAAAAAGAAATTGAATAATTGTCGTTCACTAAGCCTAAATACGTGTAATAGATTACATTAACATTCTCATTTTATGCTTTATGTCACAGTGACTAAACTCATTCTTCGATTGCAAATATCACTGAAAATGTTGTATCTTTGCTTGAAAAATCATGCGTATTTAAACAGAACAATAACTGTTTGACTAATAACTTATTAAATGCTCGTTTAAGTATTTTTCTATGTTTGCGCTGCAGACCCATAGCACTTTTCACTCTGTCGTAGAATCTAAACCAAATTTTAGTATTTTTTTTCTAATTTATTTGTTTGTAGAAATCCACTGGGAGTAGCTTTAGTTTTGGACAAACAACGTCATCTGGTTCACAACTATTAGGTCTTGGACGTGGCAAAGTACAAGCCGCAGTAACCGATGGTATGTAAAAGTTTGACAACAGTTTTCTCTTATTCAACGTCGCTTGTTTAGAACCAAATGGAAAATGGAATCCAAATCGAGCAGATTCTAAGACTGATGATGATAACAATACGCCAAAAAGAGTATTTGGTGGATTCCGAAATGGAGGCGACAATGAAGGAAGTGGTAGCAGTGGGAGTTTTGGTACGTAACTTATCCTTGTTTTTAACTTAGCCATACAAAGATGAAAATGCGAAGTGATCTGGTATTGGGATTTTCTCTGGTTTTTTAAAGTCTTTGTTTATAGTAATACATCCCAGATTTGATTTTATTAACGAAAGTTTGGTGTTTGTCTTTCAGGACGAGGGGGAGGAGGAGGCTTTCGTGGAGGACGTGGGGGTAGAGGTGGTGGAAATGATTCAAATTCAAGTATGTAAACTCCCAAAATTTACTTTGTCGGTGTTTTTCACCACCTGTTCGTTTTATAGGAGCTTGCTTTAATTGTGGTCAAGAGGGTCATCAGTCAAAAGATTGTACGGAGCCAAGAAGTAAAATAGCGAGAAATAAATGACTCATGATACTGACAAATAAGTATGTTTTTTTAGAACCACGAGAAGGGGGTTTTGGTGGACGAGGCGGTCGTGGTGGAGAATCATCGAGCCGTGGAGGATTTTCAGGCTTTGGTTCAAGAAATCGAGATAATGATGAAAATAGTGGATCAAGTAACAACAGTACGTATACTGTGGATACAATTTGTCGAAGAAGACCTAAGAGTTTGAATGTATAACATGAATTAGGATATAACCGTTTCCATGTAGCAGTGAGCAAAAATTTTAATAACTCAGAATTAAAATAAAAAGCTTGTCAGCGTTGCCCTAGGAGAAAAAAAATATTAATGTGAAACTCGACTTAAATTAATATATTTAGTAATTTTACAACCGCTATTTCTGTTACTAGAGACTCAGACAGAATTCATTTCTGAAAGAATCAAAAGAAGATACCACGACCGGTTTCGACCTTTCTCAAGGGTCTCGTCAGGTGGTTTCCTTCGAGAGACAGAGTTAAGGCACGACAAACAACACAAAGTCCGTCCACACCGTCCATTAATGTGGACACAGTAATATAGATTTATTCTTCAAAACCGCACAAAACTCGCATATAGAAATCGGAGAATTGTGACAAAATGTTGTTTTTCTCCACTGTGAACGAGCCTGACTAGTAAGAGGATGGGTGACCACTTTTGAAGATCAAACTATGCAGTATTATGGAGTTTGTCACTATAAAGTAGAGAATTGTGACGTAATGTCTTTCTCTACTGTGTCAAAACTACGATTAGTAAGAAGATGGGTGACCACTTCCCAAGATTGAACCATAAGTATGGTGCTTTTCACATTTATCTCAATAGTTGTTGAGTGAAAGTTACTAGATACAGCTTAAGTTTAAAAGGATGAATCATTTCTGATAGAATGAAGAGAAATACTTAATGTAGAGAAGCAGAACATGTGCATTGTACAGTGATATCATGCTTCCCTTTCGTCGTGTGAAAGTTATCGTTCTTTGTTCGATAAGAACAAGGATTAGTAACACCCTCATACGGTGTGGACGGACTTTGTGTTGTTTGTCGTGCCTTAACTCTGTCTCTCGAAGGAAACCACCTGACGAGACCCTTGAGAAAGGTCGAAACCGGTCGTGGTATCTCCTTTTGATTCTTTCAGAAATGAATTCTGTCTGAGTCTCTAGTAAGAGAAATAGCGGTTGTAATTACTAAATAGAAAAAAAATATGAAACGTTTCTTCCTGAATATACGCATAAACATATAATCAGTACTCACTAGTCTACGTATCCTTTCCCTTACACTAAACCACAAGAAACATCCAGTTCTCACTCTAATACGAATACACCTTTATTTCGACAACTACTGACGTTGTCGTTAATATGTTAGATGATGAGGCTGGCACTAACGAGAGAAGAAGACAAAACAGTTGGTTACAAATCACCAGACGCTACACCATTCGTGTCCTGTCCGTCCGACTGCCTGTAAGGGGGAGGAGAGGGGTTAACAGAAACTGCCAAAATAGCCATTTTGTCCCAGAAGCTCTTTAAACTTAAAACTTCGGTTTTCCTTCTGACGAAGGAGAGCCCTGAAAGTTTTCACAATAAAGAAGTTTCAAAATAATAGTTTAGTAGTTCTCCATTGCTTTATTTGGTTCGTCAAATAGAAACTTGGGTAAAGTTTGGTTGATTTCGTTCGCTTTCCCCAATGTTTCAGATTAAGACAGTGCCAAAATATTCTTTTAATTATGTATTGAAAATAGCCTAGCCGTTTCCTTTCAAACATAAGTTCTATAACTCATATGTACGTTCTATCATCTTATTGGTGCTTACTGATAAGAAGACTCACACATACCCTTCAAGGTCTCTCTTTGACCCATAAAATGTATAATATGATTTGCTTCTTATAGGAGCATGCTTCAATTGTAATCAAGAGGGTCATATGTCACGAGATTGTCCGGAACCAAGGAGTAAGATGAAAAGAATTGATAATGGAATATCTTAGCTATCTGACCTCCTTTTTGTTTGTTTTTGTAGAACCAAGAGACAGTAATTTTAGCCACTCCCGTGGCGGATCAACAGCAACACGTGGCGGTGGATTTGGTAGTTTCAGACCAGAAAACAATGGCGGCGGTGACACAGGCGAAAAGAAAGCGTTCGGTGGCTGGGGTCGAAAAGCAAATGAAAATGAGGATTCTAATGCTGATCAAAACGATGAACCAAAACGAGCATTTGGTAGCTTTCATCAAAATAACAATAGCGAACCAAAAAGACCGTTCGGTGGTTTCCGGAATGAAGGTATGTAAACAACGCAAGCACTAGGCGTCTATATTTTCTAAGTAATTAAAAAGTACGAAATGTATAACTTCCATAGGGTTTGAACAGTTCAAGTTATAAATAGAGATTTTCCGTTACCTTTTAATGTTACTTGACAGCCAGGTGATATCCTTGGCTTGTCCTGTTCCAAATTGAGACCTATCTTACAAGTTAATATTTTATTTTATTTCATGCAATACTTCTTGTTTTAGGTGAGGAAGGGAGTAATATGGGCGCTGGTTTCAATACGTCACGTGGAGGCTTTGGTGGCCGAGGAGGTAATAATAGCTCAAATTCATTCAACATTTTTTGTGCGTCTCATTTATTTGTCTTACAGGAAGAGGCTGCTTTAATTGTAATCAAGAAGGACATCAGTCACGAGACTGTACCCAGCCGAGAAAACCACGAGAAGGAGGTAGTGCACGAGGTATTTATTTCTAAATATCTTCGAGCAAATTCGATTAATCTGTATATATTATTTTTGAGTTGAACGTGGCGATAATGATCGTGGATTTTTTGGTAGCACTGGAAGAAAAGAACATGTAAGAATATAGCTTTCGTTCTCAAACTATGCTCATATACGTTTTCTGTTTATTTTTGTAGGGATCTGATGACATTTTAGAAGGCCAAAGTATGATTAACCTAGTAATTTAAGTGAATGATGAATCTGATGTTCTAGTTTTTTAGCCGCTAAACCACAAGTTGAACGTTATATACCACCACCAGCTCCAACCACTCGAGAGGATATATTTGGAACTGCAACACAAAAAGGAGAAAATTTTCAAAAATATCATACGACCCGTGTGAAATGTTCTCCTGAAGGTAATTGTATATATTGTATTTTTGACCAATATGGATTGATATGTTCTTATATATTTATATTTGTAGGAAAAATAGTACCAATTGAAATGTATGAAGAAGCTGGTCTTAATACAGAAGTTTTAGCAAATATTCGATTGGCTTCTTATGATGAGCCAACAGCCATACAACGATATGCATTACCAGCTATTTGTAGCCGACACGATTTAATGGCTTGTGCACAGACAGGCTCGGGAAAAACGGTAAAAACGATTTTTGAGAGAATAATTCGTTCTTCAAAGACTTCATTATTTTAGGCAGCTTTTTTGCTACCAATCATTTCGAACCTATTGGAGTTTCATAAAGAGGAATTGTTTGAATCACATCATCCACCAGCGCCATTATGTTTGGTAGTGTCACCGACAAGAGAATTGGCATTACAAACGGAACGAGAAGCGAGAAAATTTGCTTTCAATACAAACGTGAAAGCATGTAAATAAACTAAATGCCGATGTTTTAAGTATTGCGCGTATTGTAACCAAAACTTAAGTAAGCGACTGAATACTCATAGTTTCTACTCGGATGGTCCTAGAAAGAACAACTTTGTGCAATAGTCGACGCTTTTGATAGATGTTCAGACAAGTAGAAGTAAGTATGCGAGAGGCAGAACGTCCATAGTTTGAGCGGCTGTTGGACAACAATTGTTGAGAGAGTCCCTTGAGACTTAGATCACAAATTTATATGTTGAAAGAAAAATCTATAATTATTTTTTTGCACTGCATAATACAATGTAGACGATATAGCTTTTGAATATCTTTTTCTTAGTATAACTTAAATTATTTAGATATTTTCTTCTTTAGGTTCGGTCGTTGGCGGCCATGATATGTTCACAGTTTCTGATCGTTTGAGAGACGGCTGTCATATTCTGTCAGCAACGACAGGACGTTTGAAAGATATGGTCGAAAAGGGACGTGTAAGTGTTGAACAAATTGTCTTCATTACAGAACGCAATCTAAATATCTAAGAAAACTTTTTATACCTGCTTAGATCTCACTCAGGAAAGTAAAATATTTTGTTCTTGATGAAGCTGATCGTATGTTGGATACTGGCTTTGAACCAGATATTCGAAAACTTCAAGAATTAGGATTACCAGCCAAAGAAGATCGACAAACGTCTATGTTCAGTGCCACATTTCCCGATGAAGTTCAACATTTGGCCAAAGCATTTTTAGGAGATTATATATTTTTGGCTGTTGGTCATGTCGGTGGAGCAAACGAAGATATTGTTCAAACCATTGAACTTGTACGAGACTCAGATAAAAAAGATCGTTTAATAGCATTATTAGAAGAAAAACTTGGTAAATAACTTGGTCTTATCGTTATTGTAATGTTTATGCAATAGTTTCATCTAGGAAACGAAAGATGTTTGATATTCGTTGAAACAAAACGTCAGGCCGATTATATTGGCATACTATTATCACAAAAAGGACTTATAAGCACAACTAGTAAGTTTTCTGTGACATTAAAGAGAAGTTCATCCATCTGTCTTATTTTTTTCTTCAGTGCATGGTGATCGAACACAAAGACAACGTACAGAAGCTGTTGAACAGTTTTCAAATGGTAGATGTCCAATATTAGTAGCTACGAGTGTAGCGGCTCGTGGATTAGATTTTCCTTTAATTGGCTATGTAGTCAATTATCATTTACCAGATTCAAGTGACTTTTATGTACATCGTATTGGTCGCACGGGTAAGAAGTCACTTTTACCATGAGATCATTGATTTATTTCAATAACAACCTGTGCTTTTTTTACTCAGGCCGCGCCGGTCATATTGGCAAATCAATATCGTTCTTTGATCCTGAGAGAGAATCAGATCGACGAATTGCACCTGATCTAATACACAAATTACAAGAAGTAAGCAATTCGAATGATATTAAACTTAAACCATCGAATTTGGGGATGTTTTAGGCTGGCCAAGAAGTTCCAGAGTTTCTTCAAGAACAAGTGTCAGGTGGTGGTGGAAGATTCGAAACAAGTGGTTTTGGCCATTCGTCTGATGTAAGTTTTTCATTTATACCACACTGACCTCGCCGATATTGATGTCTGTACTGTAATTATACCGAGCCAGAGTGCCCTAAATAAAAATTATCATTATACCTTTTCTGTAACGAAGAACTGTTCAGTTCAAGATGATTATCATGCAGAATTCTTGTGTGATGACTAAAATAATTAAGTTGTTTGTTTTATACTTTAAGACACGTGTTGCTGGACGATCAAATAACACTGCCGTTGCAAAAACAACAGCAACAGCTGGTGAAGCTGATAGCTGGGATTAATATTAGCCACTTGTTTTTCATGTCCTTCTCGTCAATAAAGACTAAAGTTAAATAACTATTTTGTCTGAATAAACACACATATTACGTCTTAAGAAAAAATTTAGTTTTTTTTGTTTGTTATTATACTTTTAAGAACAAAAACAATAGTAAGACATTTTTTTCTTTTTTGCTGTATGCGTGTTTTTATTCTACATTATTTACCCAAGTATTTTGTTATGCCATGCAACTAGATTCTTGAACATGTCATGATGTATAGTGTTTCTTTTTTTTCTTTTTTATTGTTTATTTTTCTTGCGTGTGTGTGTGTGCCTGCATTCTAATTCATAAAAATGAAAAAGAATCAGGAATATTCAGTGTTACTGTAGTCAGATAAATAAAAAAAAACACGCACATATTTAGAGAATTTTGTTTGCTTAATTATCACAAAATGTCGGTGATTTTTTTTTCACGTGCGAGTGTATGTATGTATGTACGTGTATATGTGTATATGTGTTTTATCAAAAAAGATATTGGATATATGCGCTCATGTGAACAGAAGAGATTAAGCAAACGCATTATATTCAGTTTTCGTTCTTGTGAACGTTTTAATCACATATCTTTATATTTTTCTTCTATGTTATTCGTTTTCTTCGCTGAGCATAAATCAAAAACCGTTTGTTGGCATTTATGTTATTTGAAAAAGTTATAAATAAACATGGCAGTCTAATTTTGTCTGGTCTTAAAATATATTACAGTACAGAAATAAAGATGTGTGGGTGTTTGAGTGTGATTGAAACAAATTCCACCGGCTGTTTCGAATTGGTTTCTTATTTATCGGATGAGTTTTGGGTTGAAGAAATAAATAAACCTTTAAGAATGTACATCAGAACAACAAATTTTTCAATCGATCAGATTCTAGATTGGAGAAGATATCCTGTTGAAGTCAGATAGCTCGAGATCGAGGTTGAAAGAACTTGAAGCTCTGAAGTATCTTGACTGACGGAACGTATTGGTAAAATTTCTTACTCATAAATGGTAACATTGCTGTCTTATTTTGTATTAATTGCGTTTGAATGCAAATGTAGAATTTCTGTAGTAAGCTTGGTGAAAAAAAAGACTTTTCGTAAAGTATTGTCCTGTCATACAGAGTAAAAGGAAGTCGGACGATTCTACTTTTGTATCATATGAATATTAATATTTTGAATGAATAACTGTAGAACTGTAGACGATTTATACGTTTATGGATTTAAGCAAAGAACATAACAATGAATTGAAGCTAATTATAATGGTACACTTAGCACATATATTAAGAAAACTTATTCGTTTGTTCATCCAAGCAGCTTTGTTCACAGTCAGATATACGAGGTATAGTTGCATGTCGAGGCTACAACTATTAGTTTATATGCTATAATCTAAATTTCATTTTAGTGCTTATCAGAAGATTGAAAGTTTTGAAAATGTGACATTCAGTTTCAGCCATTTCTCATTTTTGCGCAATACATTGTTTTCATTTTTATCAGAAGTATCGTCGTCATTGATCCAATCTACTGAGCATTTAAACATAATTTAAAATGGCTATAATTTTCGATTATAATCCTAAATAAATAGATATATTTTCGACTAGGGATTGTTATTTTCTAACATATCAGTAATATAGAAACAATTGTTGTGTCTTGTCTTATCTACAATTTTAAGCAAATAATGAATAAAACATTTCATGATCATCTATGCAAATTGTTCATTGATGGTCTTAGTCGTCAAACAACAACGAACTAATTACGCAATTATTTTAATAGCCGTGGTTAACTAGCTGATTGTACTGTTATTAATGTCGTTGCAAATTTTTTCAATGTTTTGGCTTTGTTCCTTTAAAAAAGGATGTTTATTTTTAACTCGTTTTCAATATCATTCTGATCACAGTCATAGTAGTGGATGTAAATTGTTAATTTATTGCATGATTATATCTGATGGGATCTTGCTATTATAATGCATCGGTATTAAGGCCCCCAGCCCTCTCGGTCAGAAATATAGATTTTTCCATAAAAGGTCAATATTGAGTTAAGCGCATGATTGAAGAGCTCAAGGTGCCTCCTTTTAGAATCCATACTATTTGTGCCAATATCCAGCTAAGACATATGGGAACAACGTACCAGAGCCCAATTTTTGATTTAGGCCGTCATTCTTTTACGTTGTTGGAAGTTATACGCCAGTTTTTGCGCTTTTTTCGAACTTTTTAGGTGGAATCCTTCGGAAAGAAAAATCAAGAAAGAACTCAAAAATCCGGCTCTGCTACGTCGTTACTCTAACTTCATTTTATAGCTTAAAACCAGCCCGAGTTCTCCAGCTGTTTTCTGAGAGGAGAAATCTAGCCGGACGATATCCTAAACGATGATAGTTGGAGCGCCGAAACTTATGCAGTAACTATTCCTGAACATCCCCAACCTTCCCCAAAATTTTTGCTCAGATCAAACTTGTGGTTACTGAGATAGATTTCAGAAATATTTCAGATTTTTATCTATTTATGGAGCGAACAAAAAAACGGTCTTATATTTTTTAGGAAAAGAAAATTTTTGTGTTAAATTCCTAACCGTGATATAATAAAACATGTTAGGAAGTTAGCGGGTGTGAAATACAGAATATGAAAGGGATAAAACAAAACTGAACTTGTGACTCTCAAACAACAGAAATAAGGGTTCTTATGCTTCGTCGAAAGAAAACTTCAATTACAACATATAAATGGCGCTTTCAGAAGACGATTTCTCAAAGATAAAGACCCTAGAAAAAGTTTTTGAACCGAAAAAAATGACGATTAGAAGAGCCACATATCACGAATACTCAAATGAGCCGCGTTATTTTCGTTTTTACAGTTTTTGAAGGGGAAACATGAGACATGCTTTTTTATTATGTTTAATTGAATTTGGTTATTAGTTTTGAAAATATTTTCTTCCTAGCTTTTCTTTCTCTGTTTGGAGATCAAAAAAATCAGTCGGTACTACAGATTTGATCTGTGGAGAAGTATGTTGCCAACAAAACCGAGAATTTTCCGTGCGCTAAGTAACACTGTCTGCTTTGAACTTAATTAATATTTTTTCCATTTTATGTTGGTATAAACGTGATGTAAATAACCGAGAAGCGCTGTTGTATCCTACTGAATTTTCAGTAGATGTTAGCCGTATAAAGATAAATTTATAGTTAAAATTTGAGATCGAAATTGACACCCAGATAAAAGGATAAAAAAATAGGTCTTCGTATTTACTAGATCCACTATTTTAACTTTCTGGACGTTAAAATAGAGGAGAAATCTATTCTTAACTTAAATTAAAGACCAGAGTCGACGCTATGACATACCAGAGCCCGATTTTTGTTCTTTAATGTTTCTCCGATGTTTTACCTTGAAAACCGGAAAGTTCGATCGAAGCTTCGTGCAAGGATTGATTTTGTGTTTTGATAGTTGAAGTTGCAGAATGATATAATGGGAATTTCTATTCTCGACTCCGTTCTGGTTCACAGTTAAAGCTGAAACTAAACTGGAATGAACACAGACTAGCTTTATAGAAATCGTTTTTTTTCTCAGACTGATATAAAAATAAAAGATCGAGTTATACTATGCTATAGTGCTGAGTTTTCACTTCTAATTTAAGATCAATACGGGCTTTTGGGCGCTTAAAATCTTGTAAATAGCGATAAATCCGAAACGCAAACTTTGAGAAAAGATGCAAGAGATTTTTTTGTGATAACAAATAGACACAAAATCAATTTTGTATGAATAGAGACTCAGATGAGTGACTTTAACTTTACAGCATGGTTATTTTCTCGTTTTATGTTTAGTTTAGCCATAGATTTATAAATAAAATGGAAAATAAGGATGCTGGAACAAAAGTATTTAAAATTCTTGCTCATGGTGATTCTATTACTCGTGGATACTATTCCAATGGATATAGATATCATCCGTATACGGACAAACTTAAAGATTTGTTGCAAGCAAAATATTCACATCTGACATTCGACATAACAACACAAGGGATTAATGGGGAAACGACAACGTTTATGCTGAATAGATTAAAAACGACATTTGAGCAAACCGAAAGTCCGAAATACGATTGTCTCATAATATTAGGCGGTTTAAATGATATGGGGAGTAAACCAGCAGAAGATATAGCCAGAAATCTGTGTTCTATGGTAGATTTAGGGCGACAACATGTAACTACATGTTGTTTTGCTGTCTCTGTGCCATACTGCTTTCCCGATTGCTCCAATTCCCTATATAAAACGAGAAAAGATGAAGTAAACAAAATATTACATGATTATATTAAAAATGTGAAAGAATCACCGCCAACTAATCATTTCGTCGATTTAACTCAACATCATTTGAATTTTCTTGCTATGAGTGATACAGAAAAACAGTTGGTATTTGATGATCGTATTCATTATTCACCAGAGGGATACGACAGATTGGGTACCGCGGTATACAAGGTGATGAAATCTGTTATACGAGCGTTAAAATAAAAATCAGCTTTGGTTTTTCAATTCAAAAATAATCATATAATTTGTCGTGCTGATCCTTTTCTAACTGTAATGACATAAAGACATTGAATGTATTGAAAAAAAAGGCTAAGTGTTGCTTGTTAGAAGCAGTTTGAATTTCCTTAATTCAGCTTTCCAATTGATAGATCTATTAGAGAAGTATTTTCTTTTCAATCTAGTTCGTAAGATTTTTGTTATAATAATTTTTCTTTAATTAAGAATTGTATAATAATAAAGAAGAGTATAATGCACATACCTACACCAATCGACAATCAGATTGGTCTGAAAAGCTGAATCAGTTATAGAGTTTTATTAAAACTGGATCAGATCTCATCGAAACATCTATGTTCTGATTCAGAGAGAAAAATGCTGTTCAGCTCTAAATCTATTGACGGAATCAGGAACTGAATTTTCTAAAAGTGGCAACTTCAGATATTTTAGAACGGATATCGATCAAATTTTCCAGGCCCAAATCATTAGAAGAAAAAGTATTTTTGTAAATAACAAAGACTAATTAACTGTGAGAAGACTTTAGAATAATACAAAAATGAACTTTGGCTATTACAATTATTTGAGATCAGTATTACTATGAGTAGGAAGAAATGACTGTTACTATGAAACTCGCTTTCCGAGTTTCACAATATCATAGTAGAGTGCTGATAAGAATATTCAACTCTGAATCAGTGAGAAGTCAAAAACTTTTGGTAAAAAGTAATTATCGGTTGTTCTGAAGTTTATCCAGACTCTGACTCAGGTCTTATAAAACCGCATAACTGATTCAGCTTTACAGACTGAGCTGATTGTTGATCAGTATATACATGATAAAAAGAAAAATTGAGAAATGAAATGAACACACAATAATGGGTAATTTAAGTCGGCTTCGCGGTTGTCTCAGGACCACTTCGAATACTTTTATCATATTTTTTCGGTTTGAATTTGAAATATTCTTCTGCGTATGCTGATATTTCAGACCGAATCATTGGAAAATTAAGTCGTGCATCTGAACGATTTATTTTAAGCTAAATAGTAAAAATGGTTAATTTATATGTATAACTTATACTTTTTATTTCTGAAATTCACTAAGTTTCAGTGTACTCACCAATGGCTCATGGTACCATCCGACCTCTTGTGCTGTTGTCTGCGGTTGTGAATATTTTTTCTCCGGTTCAAGATTAGCACGATGAATTATATCAATGAATGATGCTAAAAAAATAATGTTACAATAGAACAGAGTTTTTATTATTTAACTATCATAGATATCTCTTACAATCTTCTCCTTCGTTCTCATCTGGATATACATTCGGCTTTGGAGTTAATGCTTCAGCTACAAAAAGAAAAAAATTTAGCTATTCTAGGAAAATATAATTCAAGATTATACTATACTATTAATATGGCGTACATTTTTTAAAGGGATTTACGGAATAATTTGTAAAGAGTTTTTGCTGTCGGAGTTCTTTTTTTATTGTTTCTACCAAAATAGCTTCCTGATGTACTTGATTCTTTGGTTCTTTTGTCTTTTTTTCCTTGGACCCACCAGCATCTGCCTAACAAATAAAAATCATTTAATTGGATTTCATATTTTCTTGACAAAGACTTTTTTGTTCTTTTACCATTTCGCCTTCTTTATCAAGAAACAAAACAAAATGTTTTATGAGAATAAAAATCTAATTTTTTTCTTCTTTCTGACTAACATCGACGTCGAACTATGTGATTGTTGCTGAGAAACACTCTCTATGGACGCATAAAAATGAAATATGGCAGCTTTTGACAATTCTATCATCTACAATTGTAGACAGAAGACATGTTAAAATACTATCGTGTTTACAGCAACAATTATTATTTTTATCGCATAATTACTAACAAGGGAACCTCTCGAAGATCCGGTTTTCTCGAAAACCAATTTTTCAACAATTCTAAAAAGTAACTAAATCCTTTTTTTAATTAGGCATGATTGTAGCCCGCAAATTTCTGATTAAAATGAGACATCTCCCACCTCTACACAACCTTTCTTTACAAAGTTATAGAATTTACAAGAAAAGTTTTTGGTTATTTTTTAGAGTTCTTGAAAAACTGGTTTTCTAGAAAACCGGGCCAGCTATGTTTATCTCATCGAAACTAGGTTCTTGGCTCAATTTGCTAATATTTATTGTAGTTGTGGTGAATGTACATTTAAACAAGGTTTTTATGAATATGAGCAGTCGGTCTTCTAACTTTTTCTCATCAATTTCTAACGAATAATCTGTATGATAGGAAACATAGTGGTATTTTTGTGCAACAAATAATTCCAGTTTACACATCTCAGGAAAGCCGTCATATTAAGGGGGTTCTTATCACTCATTTTTTTCTATCATTTTGTATAAGACAGTTTGAAATACATATGGTAAAATGTTTTCGGTCACATGTTTTTGTAGTCTTTGTGAAAAAACTTTTTAAAGTTTTTCCTCATTTTTTTGCCCTATTTTAAAATTTCTACTTATAACCTCGATTTTGATGTCAATTGATAGACTCTACGTAAAATTCACTATTTTGTGAGGTATAACTCGATTTTGTACGCTAAGTACTGGACAAAGTATTGGACAAATCCGACTTTTTAGTGTAGAGTATACTCTACGCTAAAAAATGCTATAGCATTAATTAATGATAATTAGTATTAATTAATTATAAAAACGAAGTAAAGAACAATAACTTTTTCTTTTTCTTGTTCCATTTATATTTTCCAAACATTTTTCTTTCGTTCTGCATTGAATTAGGTTTCTATGATGAAAGACCATCGGATAGGGAAGTTTTTAAAAAATGGTTCGATGTTCAAAACTTGACCCTAATTTTTCAACCAGATAATGACTACAAGTCGAGAAAACTTCAGGATACATGTGTCAAAGTGGACTCTAAAAACTAGTAGAGTGCGAGCGACATCTAAATGGGAGGACCTCCTCCTTTAATAAAAAGAATTTCACTAATTTTCTGAAAATATCTGATGTTGATACGGATGCTCGAAACAAAATAGTGATAAAAAGCTGATTTGCTGAGTGCATACTGTAAAAAAAAGTGCTCTCTAACGACACAAAAACTAACACATGGAATGTTCTATTAATAGTGGCACAAAAATGTGTTTGTACTTAGGATATAAAATGTACATTTTTAATGGAAATTAAAAAATGGAAAATTTTTCTATCTAAGGCAGTTTCTCGCAAGTGTACCAAAGGGCGAGCGCCACTGATATTACTTTCAAATATATGTTTAATTATATGTTCAAAATTTAAAAGTTTCACTAAATTGTTTAAGTGAAGAATATTGACTTGTTAAACTAATTGAAATTATATAACGGTGGAATGTTCAGTTTCAAGTCAAAAGTCTGTCAGACGACAGGAATGAGACATTTGCACGATAAAACTATATTTTACTGACTATTATAACTTATAGTGATTCAGTAACGTGTATTCTGATTAGTTTTTATTTTTAATGTGTGATGATGATCGAGTTTACTAAGAATAGTTCCAATATCTGATGTACCCTGGAAACGTTAAACATGCGTATAGTTCATGAAATAGAAAAAGAAAGAATGCGCGCGCATTTGAAAGAGAATTGATCCACTCAGATTTCTCCCGTTCGAATGACCTAATTCATTAGACAAGTCACATTTCCGCTATTCTCTGTCATTCTTGAGCAAAAACAATAAATAAAAGTAAAGTTTCAACCATCATTGCCTTTTTGTCCCATTCAACTAATTTAATTATTTCTCTTAACTAAAAAAAGTAGATACCTTTTACTAGTCTAAGTATAACGTACTACTTTATGATGAATGACAGAGAATAGTAGACATATGACTTTTCTAATGAATTCGGTCATTCAAAATGGAAAAATCTGACGAGGGAACCTATCCAACTGTCGGACGTCGTTTGACTCCATATTTTGGCTATAAGTAGGACTCAGTGAGACTAAGAAAATCCTAAAAGGGTTCGGGCCCATGACTCTTGAAGACCCCGT